CTCTCCGCGCTCTTGGGACCATAAATCTGCAGCCTCCCAGCTCTTGACTGTCCTCTCTCTCACATCGCCCCATAACTCTATCAACCGATACTGGTCACAGCGACTTGGCAAGATGAAGGTAGGTCCTCGTTCTCCCAATTGCTCCTGAGTGCACTCGCTGACAAGGGCGCTATAGTTCCCACAAATCTACAATGTCTACGCCATTTGCGGCTTCGCCGCGCTTGGTGGTATCCTCTTCGGTTTCGACATCTCATCGATGTCGGGTGCGCTGGGTACTCCCGCCTACAAGAACTACTTCGGCAACCCTAGCGGTACTCGCCAAGGTGGTATCACTGCGTCGATGCCGGCAGGTTCTCTCGTTGGTGCTCTGTCTTCCTCCTTCCTCGCCGATCGACTTTCGCGTAGGAACGCTGTACAAATCGCCGCCCTCATCTGGATTGTTGGCGCTATTCTGCAGGCCGCCTCCAACGGCGTTGCTCTCCTCTGTGTTGGTCGTCTTATTGGTGGGTACGCCATCGGTATCTGTTCCGCCATCGTTCCAGTTTACCAAGCCGAGATCGCGCCCAAAGAAATCCGAGGTAGAGTGGTGTCGTTGCAACAATGGGTATGTCGCTCTTTGATACGTGTATGTAATCCAAACTGATTCCGGCAGGCCATTACCTGGGGTATCTTGATCCAATACTTCATCCAGTACGGCTGTTCCTTCGTCGATGGAGGCGTCGACAACCCGAACCAGAGCACTGCGGCCTTTAGAATCCCATGGGGTGTTCAAGCTGTTCCTGGCGCAATCCTCTTCATCGGATTCTTCTTCTTCCCTCGCTCCCCTCGATGGCTGGCTTCCAAGGACCGCTGGGAGGAGGCCCTACAGGTTCTTGCCAACCTCCACGGAGGCGGCAACGTCAACCACCCCAAGGTTCTTGCCGAATACAAGGAGATCGAAGAGGCGCTTGCGTTCGAGCGTGAGATTGCTGAGACTAGCTTCGCCGCCCTGGCCAAGCCTCGCATTGTCAAGCGTGTCATCCTTGGTATGTCCATCCAGATGTGGTCGCAACTTTGCGGTATGAACATCATGATGTACTACATCGTCTTTATCATGCGTGGAGCGGGTATTGCCGACGAGCTCCTTACTGCGTCGATTCAGTACATCATCAACGTCGCCATGACCCTACCAGCTATCCTCTACCTCGACAAGTTCGGTCGTCGTCCTGCTCTCCTCTGCGGATCCTTCATGATGGCTGTCTGGCTATATACTACAGGTGCTCTGCAGGCTTCCTACGGTATTCCTAACCCAGACACTACCGACAAAGATATCTCTTGGGTGGTACCTCGCGAGCACAGCGCCGTTTCCAAGGGCATTGTCGCTTGCTCATACCTCTTCGTAGCCACGTTCGCTACCACATGGGGCCCAACGTCATGGACATATCCGTCCGAGGTAAGTTCTCACTGTAAGGGATGCATGTGAAACGTACACTGACTTGTTCTACCTCTGTAGATCTTCCCCGCCAAGGTTCGTGCGAAGGCCGTGTCGCTCGCTACCGCCGCCAATTGGAGCTGGAATTGCATTCTTGCTTTTGCCGTTCCCCCTCTTCTGTGGTCCATCAACTGGAAGATGTACATGATCTTCGGAACATTCAACGCCGTCGCCTTCATCCACATGTTCCTGACTGCCCCGGAAACTAAGGGCAAGACCCTTGAAGAGATGGACGACGTTTTCGACTCTGGTCTTCCTGCCTGGAAGGCTGGCAAGGTTGAGTCGCGTCTCGACCGTGTCACCCGCGACATTGAGGCCGGTAACCTCAAGGTCGGACGTCATGGTCACGACCACGGTCATGTCGAGAATGTTCACGCTGAGCCCAAGGTCTAAACGGACATCTTTAGCGACATCGTCTATGCAATGACGAGTGCTGTATTTTGCCACCCTTTGGTTCCTGGTTACTGGGACTAGATAGGCGTTCCAGCGGTTTGTTGGGTTGCATTCGGTTATAGAGTTACGACCATCGTCGATGACGCCGTTCACGACTCTATCTGAGCGACTTCAAGTTGTTTAACTCGGACAGCCACGTAGCATAGTCCATGAATCCATTCACTAATATCTTATTCCCACAATCGTACCTTACTATCCGGGTATAGAGTGTCAAACAGCCATCACTAATCACGGAAGGCCTACACATGTAGCTTAGCTGACTTCGAGTGATAGGTTCGGGCTACAAGGGCGAAGCGATTATAGTCCGTCTTGGAAGGCAGAAGCGCCGAAAAAGAGCCGCATTGTCTTGGTGACGCGATACTGCGTTTCGCGTCCATGCAGGGGCTGTGTGAACCAAATTCCATCGCTATCAGCGATTCCCATTGCGGCTATAGGATGGCGCAAGCCCAAGATGTCGCAACACCAGGGCCAAGGGTGTTGGCGATATTAAGGCGCACGGGACCGACGCAGCGTGTTCAGCCGTCCACGGACCTCCTGCTCTCGACGAATGCTGTGGCAAGGTTATCGCAGGAACGAGAACGAGTGGTTCGCTATTCAGCGCACGAGTGTGTAGGAAAACCTTCGCATGCGTTGCATATGCAAGAAACGACCAGAAGTTCTTCGCATGGACGCCTTATACCTGTTGATCCCTTCTGGAAATACAGCAGAACGGCACGGAGATGGGCGATAATCGACCCAGGGTTATTTCCATCATGGGGGCGACCGACAGAGTTTCGCTTCGGCTGAGTCGCCGATTTGACGCGAAAGCGAAGAAACCACTCAGGTACAGGTGCAACCCAACTGGGCAGCAACGTAAGTTTAAACGCACGAGGGGATTGAGTTCCGACTGGTTGCTTTTTCGCTTAAACATGCTGATCCAATGTTATCGATGATGGGGAAGCAGATCCCGCGCCCCGTTGTGGAAATCTACGATCATGCAATGCGCTACTAGGTCCCCCGAGCCCAATCAACGATTACCAGGGACTAGCATTGGGGCTCTCAAATCCGCGCCCCCGTTCTGACCCCGTCTTCAGCTGTATGGTTCATGACATGGCCAAGTGTACCAAAAACGCCACGAACCCGTCAGGCACCCATGCATCGAGTCAGTCTCTGGGGTAGTGTCCGCAACGCCTTCTGCTGTCTGCGTTCCTCTCATGATGAACCGTCTGCCACCACTGCAACCACACTGAATTATAGTTGCAACATGTTCGCTGATCAGCATCTTGCAGCATCTGCGTCGATCAGCAAGGCCACCAACACTCTCTTTGATTGAAATACCCCAGGATTCCACTCGGATATCGGATTCTCCAGTTCAGTTCGCTATCTCAACGAATGCGCTCTCTACCTCACCCTCATTCATCTCATTACTTTCGAAGTCGACGGAAAGATACCTGACTACCTTCACCATGTCGGACAAAGATTCCGAGTCCGGCGTCACTGGCGGCGTACAGGCCAGCATTCCTATCCTTATGACCATGTCTGCATTCCTCGCCATTGGAATGTACAACATGGTTGAGATCCTCTTCCTCATCTTCGCCGTCTTCAAACAACGCCGCGGCTTGTACTTCTGGAGTATGCTCATCGCCGCAGGAGGAATCGCCCCTCACGCCATTGGGTTCATCCTCAAGTTCTTCCAGGTCACGAAGCTTGACTTGCTGTCGAGCGCCATCATCGGCGTAGGCTGGGTCACCATGTGCCCGGGACAGTCTCTTGTACTGTATTCTCGACTGCATCTTGTTGTTGCGGACGCCAGGAAGATCAGATGGGTGCTCTACATGATCATCTTCACCACGATCGCTCTCGGCGTCCCTCTATTCACCTTCGCCATGGGCGCGAACTCCAAAGATTCCCTCAAGTTTCTCCCGGGATTCGAGATCTACGACAAGGTCCAGATCGTTGCTATTTCAGTCCAGGGTAAGTGCTTCTATCCGAGTCGCATGTGAGACAGACACTGACTTTGTACGCCTGCAGAGATGGCCATATCGGTTATCTACATCTTCCGAACAGTAAAGATGCTCCGTGGAGACTGTGGTCGACGACGTGGATCTCTTCGAAAGCTTTTCATCCACTTGATCATCGTCAATGTCGCAGTCCTCGCGTTCGACATCACGCTTATCGCAGTCCAATTCTCCGGCCACTACGAAATTCAAACCACATACAAGACGGCGATTTACAGCATCAAGCTTAAGATTGAGTTCTCTGTCCTCAACCGCCTTGTCAATCTTCTGCAACACAAGAACCTCTTCGGCGATGGCGCTACACGTTGCCATGATGTGGAAAGGTGGACAGACAACAGGAGGACGTACAGCTCGAGCAACCGTGGCGGTTTCACAAAGATGGAGGAGAGTGGCTCGATAGCGAATAGCGACAAACACTCTTCGGTCGTGACATGCCCGGCCAAGGCCGGCTTCCGCATGACAGGGAAAGCTGATGTGGAGTTGGATGACATCATGGATGATGCTACGTTGTACTCGGAGGGTAGCAAGAGCCGAAATAACTCGGGCTGCCAGGGCGATTGTCGCAGTCAGTGTTGATACCCAGGTAGTGTACCGTAAAGGCAACTGCTTACTATATAACGAATGAAATAACGACATCATATACCCCAAACTCGTTCACTATGCGATTGACTGTTGCTACGATGTGTATTTTGTCATCAAGTCGTGAAGCGCCAAAGACAACAGCACTACTACCTGCCGACCAACGGCTGATTATAGCACCGGCTCTATGAAACACCCATGCCGCAATATTGCCTTAGCAGCCCAGTCTTACCTGACACCAGGTGAGGTTGTCTCTCACTGCTCACTGCTGACTGATCACTGCCACGTTTTATCGCCACTCTCGTTGGCTAACCTCTTACAAGTCCGTCGCATATACAAGCTGTCTATTGCGGTAGGAGGCTTCCTCCATTCTCCACTAACCTGCCTGTACTCCAAAAGTCGATCATACCAGCAACCTTCACTCAAACGCAACTGGAAAGTCCGAGATGGGCGTCACCACACAGCACCCAGCAAATCTACAGCCAGTGCAGCCTCCCCCAATGGCAGCCCCACCAAAGGTTACTTACTCCGACATGTTCCTCGATATGTAAGCAGGTGATTTTGCAGTCTAAAGCGACTCCTCTAATGCCCTAAAAGGATCCAGGGCAGCTCCATCACAGTCATTGTCGGTCAATACCCATCATCTCGGACCTACACCCTTCCTGTCGCTCTACTCTGCGTTCACTCTATCTACTTTCGCGATCAAATCGCTCGTATCAACGCCACGGTGTTGAAGGATCATACAGCTAGCAAGAAGCGCAAACGCGCCAACTCCAACGGCGAAAAGAACGAGGAAGAGAATGAGGTGGTGATCAAAGAGGAGGATGGAGAGTCTGCCAAAGAAGAAGACAAGACAGAGGAGACGAATAACGAAGAAAAAACCATCAGGTTGCCAGACGTCGATCCCGCCATCTTCGGCCTCTTCCTCAAGTTCATCTACAAGGACACATACCCATCCAACGTCGACGCGAGGACTCTCCCGAACCACGCCCATCCCTATCCGAGGACAGCCACCGCAAACAGGGCAGCTTCCGTTCCAGCGACGACCGTAGTACTTCAGCAGCCACCCACCCAGGCGCCGTCTCACTTGCAGCTCAACGGCCCACCCGCCCATATCCGAAACTGGACTCCAACAAACATGCCACCCCCTCCTATCCCACACAACACAACCTCTCCGCAACCCATCCCCCCTTCAATCCACGCCTGGCTCCTCGCTCAACGCCTCGGCGCCTTGTCCTTCATGAACCACACCATCCAACACATCTATTCGGGAATCGGTCGTCACTTCGCCCTAACCCCCTCCCTCATCGACCACGTATGGCGAGAAACCACACCCTCATCCTCTCCCATATCAACGATTCTAACACCGTCTCCCCTCCGCAACCTCCTCCTCCACACCCTAACATCGTACTGGTCGCAGCCGGGCCCACAGCAGAACCCCAACGCCATCATCTTGCGCTCGTTGTCTGTGTCTCACGGACAAGGCCATTTCTCGACGGGTTTGAAAGACGCGTGGGACGGGCTGTTTAATGAGCACGAGGATTTGAGGAATGAGTTTATACATGGGCTGCAGGCGGGTCCAGGGCAATTGGGGGTTGTGGGGGTGTATTTCGCTACTTCGGGGACTGTGGTCGTGGGGACTGGAGGCGGGGGTGGGGATAGGAGCGAGGCTGTGAAGGGAAAGGAGAAGGAGAAAGGTGAGGGTGTTGCATGGGTGGATACGGGCAAGGGGTTTATCATCAAGGAGGAGGAAAGTGGTGAGACGAAGGTTATGAATGAGACTAAGGCGACCCGTGTCTAGGGGGTGCTGCCTTTTTGCTGATGGATGTCTTCTTGGATGGCACGAAAAGTTTGGGTTATGAGTTCGGCATTGAAAGTATACAAAAGCGCACGGCTTAGGCCAACTATGATTTTTGGGCAAGGAAAAGTTGGCGTATCGATCATAGAGTCATTACTACATCATACCTTATCTACGGTGATCGTCGGGTATTTACATCGTTTGCTCAGTTCCTCGGCTCCTCGTCTGCTCATTACTTTTACACGCCCCTTGGTATCATTACATCCGTTTCCAATCCAATCTTTCAATATACACGTCGCAAACACCATGGATGTACGACCCTTAACGAGTCCAAGCATCAGCAACACGCTCTTGCCATTCATGCTCCATATCCTCTGCGCACTGCTTGCAGACTCCCATACGGCAAACATGAATGTCGCACTCCCAGAGCTCTTCTTTGACATCTTCGTTGCAACGGTCGCAGAAAACAGGGACAGAGACATGCTGTTTGTAGCCCACAGCGGTATGTAGATACGGTCGAACTTCCAGGCTGTTGATGGCGACCTCGTCGGGTACAGTCTTGAGGTTGATAGGGTGGAAGATGTGGCCGTTCTTGAGACAGTAGTGCTCTTTGAATGATGACCTGGGCGGGAGAGGAGGTGTAGCGTGATCTTCTTTGGGAAATGGGGCAGGAGGGATTTGCTGGTCGGCAAGTACATCGAGGTCGAGACGTTCGGAAAGAGGGCGTTGTTTGGTGTGGTCGTAGTCAGACATCCAGTCTTGGACAAGAAGACGTGACTCGTCGCGGGGAAGCTTCACTCTCTTGTCCTTGTCGAGGCGGTTGAACTCGCTAGCGGAAAGAGGGCCACGCATTACGGTAGGCTGAACTTTGTTAGTTGCATCTGTAGTAGTTGAGAGATACTTACGCACCTCCACATGCTCACTGCGCTCGTTGAATGGACTGATCTTCTCGTCATGTTGAAAGTAGTAGGTAGGTTTGAAGGGGGCCTTGAGCTGACTAGATAGGGCTAGCAGGGGCAGTGGGTTAGGTGGGGCAACCGGTGCGACTCGTGTGGGTGGTGCAGGCGGTGCCAGAGGTACAGCTGGTTTCTTCCTCATAGGCGGAATATCGACAAGCTTGACCATACCGGGTGTGACCCGCATGAAGGGTACGGGCAATGATACGGTCGTGGCGTCATGTAAGGTGGGCTCCTCGTCCAAGTCATCCTCGTCGTCGCTGTCAACCTGGCTATCCGCACCACCGCAGAGCTCACACGCTCCTGGAGCGGCGTGACAACGCTGTGCGGCTGCGAAATCCGCTTTCATGGCCTCGTTAGACGCCTTCAAGGTAGCGTGTGTGTCGTCGAGAGTGAGTCTATCAACGTCGTTTTGGTCTAGCACAGCCTTGCTCATTGCTAGTCGCGCCTCTGCTTCGTCAAGCAAACGGTCTTCAACCGTTTGCAGTGGGCCGCGGAGGCGGAACACTGTAGACTGCAGAATTGCGCCATTTTTGACGTCAATCTCGTTACCAGGATGGGCCGCGAAGTTTTCTTGCTCGTCTTGAGCCGTCTCATCGATGACTTCGTCTGTGAGTGAGATGTCGTCCTCTTCCAACTCGTACCTGATGTTCGTTGTGAGCAATGACTCATTACGCGACCGAGATAGCGGTGCCTTGGAAGGAGCTTTTGCATACTCAGAGATATCGTTCAGCTCAGGATCATGTTCGCTGATTCTGTAGGAAGTGCGCAGCTCATCGTGCGACGTCTCTGTAATGGGTGCCATCCTCTCGAGCTCCTTAGGAAGCTTCTTGCGCATACGTCTTCTCGGAGCTTCGGGAACAACGGGCGGAACAGGTGGGAGCGAACGGAACTGGCCATGGCGTTCGGCGTCGCTACTACGGTATGTATCAGTATGTTCTTCTGGACGCCACGCTAGAGAAACAGCTGCGACGCGCCCCATGTCGGCTTCACGGCTAGCATTAGATGGTGCAGATGGGAGTAAGCCTAACATTCGCTGAGCTTTCCGGTTAGTGTTGCCCCAGAAGCCCTTGGGCTTTGGTGGCTCCATGTCAAGGCCCTCTTCCGTGAATCTCGTCTGTCTGTCCGACGCGCTCTTCTGAGTGGTTATTGCCGACATAGAGCCTCGCCTTGTCGATATCGGGCGTACCGGTAGGCTATCGTAGCCGCCATCGTTCTGGGATGGACGGCCTACAGAGGTACTCCGGGGTCTACCAGGGCTAGGTCCAGTGTCCACGCCCAGCAACTGTGCAGCCTTGATAGGCGTCAACGGCGGTAGAGGCGAAAGCTGGGGAGTAGGCTCATGGGAGCTGCTCGGGCGGTCTTGGTCCTTTGCCTTGCGGCCGAATTTGCCATGCCTTTTCTTGCCCTCCGTGGCTACTGTTGATGCGCTTCCTGTTGTGGGTGTAGGCGAATGGGCGGCCGGCATAGTCGAAAAGCCATCGGATGGACGCGCTGGGAGAGGGCGATGACGGTCGCCTGGAGGGCCACTGTTGTGTACGTAGGAGTTGACCATAGGATTCGAGGGCGCAGAAGGAGGTGAAACATGAGAATGTTCAACTTGATCCGTATGCTGTGCTGCGGTGACACCACTCGCATTCTCCCTCCCGGCGAATGAGTCAAGACCGAGATTGGGAGTAGTGTTGGAGCGCGGTGCGTTGGAACGGCGCGTGTTGCGGCGTCTCTGGCCACCAACCATCACGGCGGCAGGGCGCATGCTCCACGCGGGGTTGGCGGAATCAGGTACGACCATTGTCCCAAAGGAGGTATATTTTCGTGTACTGTATGGTAGTGCCGATTGGCGGTGGTGCAGGTGCGCGATTCGAGTGCGACGAGGCAATCAAACCAGAACGAAAACAGCGACCCAGACCAAAGAAGAAGCGCGACACCTATCGGTGCATTGGGAAATCGCAATCGGATTGCGGTTGTGGAATGTGGTGATCCGCCCAAGTGGTGACTCGACCACAACAAACCGAGCTTGGAGCTCTGTCCACCAACAAACGGAGCGTGTTGCCGCACAATAGCGGCAGTGAATGAGGAAGGCGCGGCATAAAGATGACGTAGGCGAGGAGAAGCTCGAGACCAGCGAGTGAAGGAGGAAATGAGAGAATCAGTCGCTTCCGATATGTTTACTACGTACGGTGACGCCTGTTGAATAGACACAGATTTGGGAAGGAGCATGTTGCGACGGAAAGAACGACCCCGAAGAAGAGAATTATAGAGTAAATAGAGTTAAACGACGCTACGAGAAAAAGAAGACCTTTGCTCCTACAAACCATGTAATAAGATCTGGGGGTATCTTTGTGTACGCGATTGTGCTACGATCCATGACTTCGCTCGTGTAGCATCCGTCTCTGTGCACTGATCTCAAACCCAACGTCACGTAACACACACTGCACCCGAGACCGAAAACGCTTGACTGACCTTCACAAGAAGTCGGAGAATAGACGAGGGAAAATTTCTGAACCCGTGCTACACGCTGGAAACGCGGATGTTGTCTCGACGTCGCAACTTCCAACCCCTGCGTCTAAGGCCTGCCATCGCTTGTCTGAACCACCGACGAACTCTATGCTACGAGCCCGTTGTATGTTTGTCACTCTTGGGGCTGCTAAGCCTCGCGACCTGCTCAGTGACAGTGCTGCCACTTCTTGCTCGCCCGGCCTCTGGGGACGCAGGGATATCGATGGAACTCCTCAACCCCACTCCGCTGATCCTGCCAGCAGGTGTCACTGGTCTTGCTTCCTCAGAAGCCTTGGGTGGTTCGCCAGTCGACTCCATTGAATCCGGCTCGCGGGTCAATGTAGCTGACTTCGATGACTTGCTGCTGGGACTTGCGCCAAGACCTCGGTGAACCTCCAGTGTGCTGGATCCATGGAGGAAGTCGGAGATGTCTGCATCGCTCGTGCCTTTGCCATCCGGTGTTTTGGGTGGACCTCCGGAAGGACTTCGCGGGCTTCTGGGCATGTTAGGCTGGAAGAACTTCTGAACAGCGTTGCGATCATCCACTTCATCCTCCTCATCACTAGTCTCCCCGAAGTAAATACTGTCCCAATCGCCCGAGCCCACACTACGGGTCGAGTCGGTCGTATTCGATCTCTTGGGTATCCTTAGACTGGGCGGCTTGAGCGGGGCTAGCTCGTCCGCGACTTCCCTCATCTCGCTATCAGTGCGCTCGATAGGTGGCTGCAGTCGCTCCTGTCCCTTGACGTGTTCGCCATCTTCGTTGATTGGCTTGTTCACAGCTTGTGCACGATCAAGGGCGGGCTCCTCTTCATCTCGCGTGTTTGCCGAGTAAGTATCTGCGAAGTGCGTATCGCAAAGGTGCTTGACGACAGGCCAACCATAGGCATTGGCAAACATACGACGCACTATCATGTTGTTATGAGCGTCGGGTTCAAGGCTGACGAGAACCTTGCGCCAAGAAAGGTCCTTGTGATAAGCGCGAGCAATCTTCTCTTCCACGCGCATCACACTCTCGTCGACACTTGTTGTCGATGCCTTTGAAGCAGTACTATCACCAGAGAAGTTGCGTACTGGCTTCGTCTTCGTAGGTGGCGGCGGAATGTCTTCAGGATGGTAGATTCTGTCGTGGAAGATGGTGCGTGCTCGAGTGGACGGGTCTGTGATCCAGGACTGGGGAGGAACAGGAGGGTTGATCAGGTCACCAGCAGACTCGAAGATGGTCGTTTTGGGTGGTGCTAGGTGGCTCTTGGGATTATCGACAATTGAGTCTCCACGGGTTGCTTGGGGTCGCTTCCTTGGTTGTGCGCTATGTGACGATGTCGCGTGATCTGCTTCAGCCGGAGACAGCTCGTCTTCTTCGTCTTTCCCAATAGTCTGACTACGACTAAACATCTTCTTGTCGCGCGAAGTGTGCTTTCCAGTCGGCCTGATGTAGCTCCACCACTGCATCAAAGTGTTTTGCGGCTGAAAGTACTGGTCGTTCGGCTCCTTGGCTTCTGGACTCTTCTTCCCTCCTTCGATGGCCTGATGGGCTGTTGGCTCTGC